GATGATGATGATGATGATGATGATGATGATGATGATAGTGATGGTGATGACGATGATAGTGATGGTGATGATGATAATGATGATGATGATGATTCGATAGAGAAGGGTTCAGAATTCGAACTTTATTAGTGAAAACCAAGAGCCATAATAGGACTATTATGGCTCTTGTGAAAACCAATTAAGGCCCTTGAACTATCCTCTTATTATATTGCCGAGTAATTATTAAATACTGTCAATATAGTCATTACTTTAATAGGAAAAAAGAATGAACCTTTAAGAGGAGTCTTTGAAAGAGACGCGCCCAAAGTGTTGAAAATTAGCTTCATACAATAAGAGACATTAGCCAGCGGCGCGGAATTTCTGCGCTCGTTCCTCAGACGTCATTTCGCATGGAAACCAGCGGTGGCGTCGCCAGATGTGGCTGTTTTCAGGCTGAGTTCATTGAGAATGAGTCTATTTACCCTTTAAACTTGTTATCCCTATACGTTTTCAGTAGAAGTAATGGGGAGAATTTGTTGAACGGTATCGATTAGATTCATCTAGTGTGATCATGTCTTAAATTCTCATGACCACTCTGTTTTATAAAGCAGTGATATTACATGGAGAAATTTGACGCTGATCACTCTTAGGGCTAAAAGGGTTAAACCATTTTCCTGTTGTTATTGTTTTTGTCGTTGACACAGATGCACCTCCCGTAATTGTCAAAGAAGAGACCGAAGCCGGTGAATTTGTCGCAGAAATCAACAAACTAAGAGCCCATGGGGGCGGGGATTGCCCGGAGTATACCTTCAAGGGAATGCTAGAGGCTTTGTACCAAGACCCCGCATGGGGATCCCCTATGTATGTATTCACAGACGCGGGTCCAAAGGATGCTACAGAGTACGACATCGAAGAAGTAAAGGCCTTGGCAAGCGCTGATGAATATGGCGTGACTATCAACTTTTTCACTACTGGTAGGATTCCTGTGGAGACGGTCTTATGGGTTCGTCACACGTTCCTGTCGCGTGACGAGCCGAAAGGCATTCTGTGTGAAAAGCTAATAGGATGTTACCCAAACTTGATTGCTTTGTTAACAGTTCTTTTTACTTCCAATGTTTAACAGTTTAACCCTTAATTCTTTTAATGAAGGTATGCTAACCAACTTTAAAATCATTACTGGTTGAATGTCCTAAGAGACGGTCTACTGAAACCTTGGCCTTGAAATATTTCCCTTGTTCGATGTCAATGTACCCTTTTTTTGGCAAAAAGTATTACGCTGTAATTTTCTGCACGGAAGTCTGAAAAGGCCAAAAGGCCCAAAAAAATTTCCTCTGGTGTTGCTCAAACTAGGCGAATTCCTGGTATGTCTTCAGGTCATTTCTCTTGACTTGAAATCTTGATTTATAATTAGGTGTATTTAATATGGTTATACTGGCAATATAATGCTAGAGGAAGTGTCCTAGCTTTGAACTAGCATGCTGTCCAGTGTCCAAGGAAATAATGCCCCAGGCGTTCAGATCGGGGGGATGTCGCAGAAAGATGTGTGCAGGAATAACAGCGAGGGGGTAGGGTAGTAGGCGGTAGGGGTTCCCCTCCCTCTCTCCCTTCCTTTTTTCCCCACTCTGACTGCGCGCTGCACTCTACTATCTTAAACCCCTGGAACAAGCTACGGAGAAGTAAAAAATCTTCTTTATTTTTAAAATATAGGCTTCTGCACTAGTCAGGGTTACGATGGAAGAGATCCAAGAAACCTTCACCCGGCTTTCCGCGAATTAGCTGAGTTTACTTCCGGGCAGGCCATCCTCCTCAAAGACCAGTGGGAGCTGGAACAACTCAACAATTTGACGAACGGTGTGCTGCAAGGTGACAATGTGGTGAGCTTTGGATCGAACAAGTCGAACAGGAAGAAACGTAGTGTAAGGGGAGCGGATAGCCGGTACAGTATTCCAGTAGATGACTCCATCGAAGAAATGACTGTCACCGTAACAACCACGCGGATAGATACCAAAGGTTTGTGATGGTTCATTTAATTTTGGGTAAAAAGGAAGTGAAGATAAGGGGCTTTCTTTTCAGCGTCCAATAGGAGTTCTTTGAGCAGGCGCCCGCGTAATAGAGCCTTTAGGCACTGTCTTTCTTCATCTCCCATGCTAAGTTCATTTAGCTGAGCTCATTTCTCTAACAGATCAATCTAACTCGTCCCCAGTTTACCTCTCTTTTTCTTGTCCCCTGGAGCATGAAGGGACTGGAAGAAGAGAGCGCCTGGTAACGAGATTTGAAAGATCTTTATGAGTTCTCAACACAACATTAGTTCAAGTTAATGAAAACAAAAAACGTTATTGTAGGAGCTAAGAGTTTTATGCTAACTCTCTCCTTCTCAAAGGTCGCCTGCCGTGCCACTCGGAGGGGGGAAACGAAATCACTTTTTTTTTTAATTTCTTAGTGTCCCCAGTATACTTTACTAACATTTACATCGTTTATTTCCTCTCAGGGCGAGGAATAACGTTACAAGACCCAGATAACATCGTAATTCCTGGCAAAGTAGGTCTTTCCCAGATCTCCATCTTTGAGATCCACAACCCCAAGAGAGGAGCCTGGACCCTAACTGTGTCTGGCGGAAATGGTGGCCATGAGTTTTTTGTTAAGTCAAGCAGTGCCACTAACGTAGATTTTGAACACTACTTTCTGGTTGAAATGCCAGGTCGCGGGAGGCGAATGGTTGAAGTACCCACTTCCAATCCAATAATTGGTAAGTCGTTAATATTTTTTTGTTGCGCGCGGAAATTAGAGGTTAAAGGAAACGTCCGTTAAACATCAGGATGGCATGAAGAAACGGGTGACTTTCGTTGATGAGGTTACAAAATGTAGCATAAAAAAATAAGTTTTGCGGTCCTTATAGACTGTGAGCTGTCTTTTTTTTGTTGTTGTTTGCTTGAAAATCTGTGGGAGCGCGAGCGCGCCGGATAATGCGAGTGTTCAAGGTGTGCGAGCGGGCAGCAAGTTGTGCGGGTTTTCTCGTACTGGCGCCCGCAGAGCACGCAGAGCACGCACAACTCGCTGCTCGCGTTATCGCGGGCACGCTCCCACAGATTTGAAGCAAAAAAGAGACTGCTCCCATTCTACTAGCCAGCGAACAGCCGACGCATTTCCGGTCGTCGCTTCTCTCCCTCTGAAAAATAGCAATTTTTCGGAGGGAGAGAAGCGACGACCGGAAATACGTCTGCTGTTCGCAGGCTACCATTCTACAGTCCTACTTACCATTCAGACGAAACCTCTTTGGCCAAATACTTTCAAATGGTGTCAGTATTTTCCAAGACGAATTCTTGGGTGCTCTTGGGAGTGAAGAAGTTAGATGAATAACAGTGTTTTTTTTTCTGTATTCCTAAAGGGAAATTAAACAAAATGGTCATCACTTTGGCTGGATCAGAGAAAGTAGATACCAGTTCCCTGCGACTGCAACTCATAAACACGGAAGGGAACCTCATCCGTGATGTGGCCCTTCAAAGTCGGTCAGGTGACCGCGTCCATTTTACCGCCATCATAACTCCCGCTGCATCAAAGCCGTTCTTTAAGCTAAAGCTCAAAGGGAACACGCAAAGCGGTAACCCATTTGAGAGAATTTCCCATCAAGTTATTAAGCCCACCACTGCTGTTCTAAGGGCCAAGAGGGCCAGTAATGATTACACTCTCCCTCTAAGGAGAAACACGTTTATTCATTTCCAGCTGTGTAACTTTGGCAACACCGAAATTTTTAACGTTGCTGTCGTAAAAGATAGATTGCGTTACATTGACCGTTCTAGGCTTCCGAGCCCTAAACGCGTGATAAAAGGGCGTTGCGTGACTATCGCTGTTCGCGCCCGAGCTACTCGTCAAGAGGACGTGGAAACCACAGATTCTGTGTTTGTCATCGCAAAAGGAAACAGTTCAAGCGTTGTTGTTTCGGAAACAGTGCGTTTATTTGTGGTGTCGTAGACAAAAACAGAAAGCACTTCTAGCAAACAAACACCAACGCTTTTAAAGATTTTGCTGTACTAAGAGAATTTTTTTTTTCTAATACACCGAAGGTTTAAGCACTTTGAAGGGGTCACAAAAACAGTCCCACGTGAAAATCAGTTGTAGACGCCATTAATTTCTTAATGTAAGTGGGTTGAGACTGATTATAGTTAATTCCTGATTAAACTGGTTTGTAAAGCACAAGCAAGAAGCCGAAGCTATTAGTAGAAGCGCTACAATAAATGATTGATCAGATAATTGATTTGGTAAATGGCTGTGGAAAAAATCAATTACAGTCCAACTAGCCCCGCTTTACAGACACCTTATTATTACGGACAGTCTGCTTTGCCCCTGGGGAGAGAAAGGCCTCTGTTCCTCTAAATTCAACCGGACACCCCGTTAATACGGTCACGTTGTATGACCCCCTTCGTGTATGTAGTAACGGGTGGTATGGAGTGGCGGGCTGAATTGAGGGACATGCGTGAATTCGCCTATGCAACAAAAGGCTGGCGAACTCCTCTCTCACCTTTGAGCCGGATTGAAGTTACGTAGTCCCAACCAAATAAGAAAGTCTGAAAACAACTTCTTGATGATCACTGCAATCGTCGTATTTAAGGGCGGTTTCCATTTAGCCACTTCGAACGCTACGATCTTCAGATTGCTGAACTATTTACAGTGATCGTGACGATCATTATGTAAACACTAAACCCGCAACAGGTGACCAATGACCTAAAATTTGTTGTGTTCAGAATGGACCTTTATTTTTTCTTAGAAGGTGTCACGGACCCTTGACAAACCGAAAACAAGGCAAAATTTGAGCTTCGGGGAACCTTTAGCGAAAAAAAACCTTGTTCAACTAACTAAAGGGGTACGAGCTTCTACAAAGTCATCACTGAGAAGGACTGATAAATGGCTCGTCATATCACTAACACTGCTGCTAATCGCTTTTCCCAACTGTTCTTGATACTATTAAATAACAAGTCATAGAAGTATTACGCTGTAATTTTCTGCACGGAAGTCTGAAAAGGCCAAAAGGCCCAAAAAAATTTCCTCTGGTGTTGCTCAAACTAGGCGAATTCCTGGTATGTCTTCAGGTCATTTCTCTTGACTTGAAATCTTGATTTATAATTAGGTGTATTTAATATGGTTATACTGGCAATATAATGCTAGAGGAAGTGTCCTAGCTTTGAACTAGCATGCTGTCCAGTGTCCAAGGAAATAATGCCCCAGGCGTTCAGATCGGGGGGAATGTCGCAGAAAGATGTGTGCAGGAATAACAGCGAGGGGGTAGGGTAGTAGGCGGTAGGGGTTCCCCTCCCTCTCTCCGTTCCTTTTTTTCCCCACTCTGACTGCGCGCTGCACTCTACTATCTTAAACCCCTGGAACAGGCTACGGAGAAGTAAAAAATCTTCTTTATTTTTAAAATATAGGCTTCTGCACTAGTCAGGGTTACGATGGAAGAGATCCAAGAAACCTTCACCCGGCTTTCCGCGAATTAGCTGAGTTTACTTCCGGGCAGGCCATCCTCCTCAAAGACCAGTGGGAGCTGGAACAACTCAACAATTTGACGAACGGTGTGCTGCAAGGTGACAATGTGGTGAGCTTTGGATCGAACAAGTCGAACAGGAAGAAACGTAGTGTAAGGGGAGCGGATAGCCGGTACAGTATTCCAGTAGATGACTCCATCGAAGAAATGACTGTCACCGTAACAACCACGCGGATAGATACCAAAGGTTTGTGATGGTTCATTTAATTTTGGGTAAAAAGGAAGTGAAGATAAGGGGCTTTCTTTTCAGCGTCTAATAGGAGTTCTTTGAGCAGGCGCCCGAGTAATAGAGACTTTAGGCACTGTCTTTCTTCATCTCCCATGCTAAGTTCATTTAGCTGAGCTCATTTCTCTAACAGATCAATCTAACTCGTCCCCAGTTTACCTCTCTTTTTCTTGTCCCCTGGAGCATGAAGGGACTGGAAGAAGAGAGCGCCTGGTAACGAGATTTGAAAGATCTTTATGAGTTCTCAACACAACATTAGTTCAAGTTAATGAAAACAAAAAACGTTATTGTAGGAGCTAAGAGTTTTATGCTAACTCTCTCCTTCTCAAAGGTCGCCTGCCGTGCCACTCGGAGGGGGGAAACGAAATCACTTTTTTTTTTAATTTCTTAGTGTCCCCAGTATACTTTACTAACATTTACATCGTTTATTTCCTCTCAGGGCGAGGAATAACGTTACAAGACCCAGATAACATCGTAATTCCTGGCAAAGTAGGTCTTTCCCAGATCTCCATCTTTGAGATCCACAACCCCAAGAGAGGAGCCTGGACCCTAACTGTGTCTGGCGGAAATGGTGGCCATGAGTTTTTTGTTAAGTCAAGCAGTGCCACTAACGTAGATTTTGAACACTACTTTCTGGTTGAAATGCCAGGTCGCGGGAGGCGAATGGTTGAAGTACCCACTTCCAATCCAATAATTGGTAAGTCGTTAATATTTTTTTGTTGCGCGCGGAAATTAGAGGTTAAAGGAAACGTCCGTTAAACATCAGGATGGCATGAAGAAACGGGTGACTTTCGTTGATGAGGTTACAAAATGTAGCATAAAAAAATAAGTTTTGCGGTCCTTATAGACTGTGAGCTGTCTTTTTTTTGTTGTTGTTTGCTTGAAAATCTGTGGGAGCGCGAGCGCGCCGGATAATGCGAGTGTTCAAGGTGTGCGAGCGGGCAGCAAGTTGTGCGGGTTTTCTCGTACTGGCGCCCGCAGAGCACGCAGAGCACGCACAACTCGCTGCTCGCGTTATCGCGGGCACGCTCCCACAGATTTGAAGCAAAAAAGAGACTGCTCCCATTCTACTAGCCAGCGAACAGCCGACGCATTTCCGGTCGTCGCTTCTCTCCCTCTGAAAAATAGCAATTTTTCGGAGGGAGAGAAGCGACGACCGGAAATACGTCTGCTGTTCGCAGGCTACCATTCTACAGTCCTACTTACCATTCAGACGAAACCTCTTTGGCCAAATACTTTCAAATGGTGTCAGTATTTTCCAAGACGAATTCTTGGGTGCTCTTGGGAGTGAAGAAGTTAGATGAATAACAGTGTTTTTTTTTCTGTATTCCTAAAGGGAAATTAAACAAAATGGTCATCACTTTGGCTGGATCAGAGAAAGTAGATACCAGTTCCCTGCGACTGCAACTCATAAACACGGAAGGGAACCTCATCCGTGATGTGGCCCTTCAAAGTCGGTCAGGTGACCGCGTCCATTTTACCGCCATCATAACTCCCGCTGCATCAAAGCCGTTCTTTAAGCTAAAGCTCAAAGGGAACACGCAAAGCGGTAACCCATTTGAGAGAATTTCCCATCAAGTTATTAAGCCCACCACTGCTGTTCTAAGGGCCAAGAGGGCCAGTAATGATTACACTCTCCCTCTAAGGAGAAACACGTTTATTCATTTCCAGCTGTGTAACTTTGGCAACACCGAAATTTTTAACGTTGCTGTCGCAAAAGATAGATTGCGTTACATTGACCGTTCTAGGCTTCCGAGCCCTAAACGCGTGATCAAAGGGCGTTGCGTGACTATCGCTGTTCGCACCCGAGCTACTCGTCAAGAGGACGTGGAAACCACAGATTCTGTGTTTGTCATCGCAAAAGGAAACAGTTCAGGCGTTGTTGTTTCGGAAACAGTGCGTTTATTTGTGGTGTCGTAGACAAAAACAGAAAGCACTTCTAGCAAACAAACACCAACGCTTTTAAAGATTTTGCTGTACTAAGAGAATTTTTTTTTTCTAATACACGGAAGGTTTAAGCTCTTTGAACGGGTCACAAAAACAGTCCCACGTGAAAATCAGTTGTAGACGCCATTAATTTCTTAATGTAAGTGGGTTGAGACTGATTATAGTTAATTCCTGATTAAACTGGTTTGTAAAGTACAAGCAGGAGCATAAGCAAGAAGCCGTAGCTATTAGTAGAAGCGCTACAATAAATGATTGATCAGATAATTGATTTGGTAAATGGCTGTGGAAAAAAATCAATTACAGTCCAACTAGCCCCGCTTTACAGACACCTTATTATTACGGACAGTCTGCTTTGCCCCTGGGGAGGGAAAGGCCTCTGTTCCTCTAAATTCAACCGGATACCCCGTTAATACGGACACGTTGATGACCCCCTTCGTGTATGTAATAACGGGTGGTATGGAGTGGCGGGCTGAATTGAGAGACATGCGTGAATTCGCCTATGCAACAAAAGGCTGGCGAACTCCTCTCTCACCTTTGAGCCGGATTGAAGTTACGTAGCCCGAACCAAATAAGAAAGTCTGAAAACAACTGCTTGATGATCACTGCAATCGTCGTATTTAAGGGCGGTTTCCATTTAGCCACTTCGAACGCTACAAGAATGTTTGCCGATGACACCAACCTTACGTTATCTGCTAAGACGTTAACAGAGCTTAAGCTAGCTCTAACCGCTGAAGTAAATAACCTTAGCTGTTGGCTGAAAGCTAACAAGCTCAGTCTAAATGTTGCTAAAACAGAGCTAATGATTATTGGATCAAGACAAAGACTATCTGCCCAATGTGACGATGTAGAAATCAGAATTGATGACCAAATTATCAAGAGAGTCGATCATACCAAATCCTTGGGTCTTACCATAGATGCCCAGCTCTCTTGGGGTAAACACGTGGAAGAGATTTGCAAGAAAGTCTCTTCAGCTATAGGCGCCCTAAAACGTGTGCGGTCCTTTATATCCAAAGAAACTGCAATTCAAATTTATAACGCCTTAATTATGCCTCATTTTGATTACTGCAGCCCCGTCTGGGACTGTTTGAGTGGTTACTTGAGTGATAAGCTCCAAAAATTACAGAATCGTGCAACCAGAGTTATTACTAAATCACCCTTTGATGCGAGCTCAAACCACCTTCTCTCCACCCTCAGCGAGGAGAGGCTATCTCTTCGACGAAAGAAACAAAAAGCCTTAATGATGTATAAAACCATGAATGACCTTGCTCCGGAATATCTACAAAGTCCTTTCTCTCAGCGTCACTCTGCTTACAACTTAAGAAACTCTGAGGGAAGGCTGACCCTGTCCAAACCAAGCACCAATTATTTGAAACGAAGCTTCTCTTACAGCGGGGCCATGTTATGGAATAACTTGGCCAAAAACTTGAAAAATGCTGCATCCGTTGAGCATTTTAAGCGAAATATCAAGAAGGTAGCTGATTTATCGGATTCCCACACGGCAATCATGTAAAGCAGTTGTAATTAGTTTTAGTTTTTAACTTAAGCTTAACTGATGATTTCCCGTGTTTAAATAAAGATTTACATACATACATACATACGATCTTAAGATTGCTGAACTATTTACAGTGATCGTGACGATCATTATGTAAACACTAAACCCGCAACAGGTGACCAATGACCTAAAATTTGTTGTGTTCAGAATGGACCTTTATCTTTTCTTAGAAGGTGTCACGGACCCTTGACAAACCGAAAACAAGGCAAAATTTGAGCTTCGGGGAACCTTTAGCGAAAAAAAACCTTGTTCAAGTAACTAAAGGGGTACGAGCTTCTACAAAGTCATCACTGAGAAGGACTGATAAATGGCTCGTCATATCACTAACACTGCTGCTAATCGCTTTTCCCAACTGTTCTTGNAGCGACAAGTGAAATGTTCTACTAAACGTTCATAAGAAACGTGCTTCAGCGAGAAGTGAAAAAAACAGTTTAAAGTTTTGTTTCCTTCTTAGGAGTAACCTGAGACCGTACAACAAGCTTATCAATATGAGAAAACAAATTTTCCTTCTCTGATCCTGCGGTCGTTGTTGTCTGCAGGACAGTCTTCCTGAAGCTAATTATTTTCGTTGCAATTCATTTATGCCTACAACGCACCCATTTTACACACACCCTTCCTTCCACCTTACCCACTACTTCAGTGGAGACTTAGGAACCCTTTCATGAGGGATTCCATACTTTTAACTGCTAGGTTGCTAGGTGAATCTAATATTTTATTTTTTATTATCTATTTTTTTTACAAAGCTGTATAGGTAAGCTGCCCCACTATGACTAAGGGCTGTTTAATAAGAGCGTAGTGGTCACTAGAATCGCTAAAAAAAGGTCGATCAATGGTCGCAACGTTTATATGAAAACAACTCCTCGTCGCTTGGCAGTTAGATTACTGAGTTGTTAAGGTTAGTTTCCTTATTACCACTTAGAACGAAGTAGACTGCGAGCAGTCTCTTATTTTTCTTTGCATAACGTTGTGGTTTGCAATCGCGGTGGCTGAGTTAAGAACTGGACGAATTTTAAGAGAAAAGGCACTGCACTTCACTCAAGATGCACAAACCGTCCGGCATTCATAGCATGAACGTGAGCGGAAATGCAACACCTGTTATCATAGATCAAGTGCGTGACATTCGGTTTCAGCGACAAGCAAACTCTTTTGGTTCAAAGCGAACGTGCTGAGGACATTTAATTCAGCTTGTTTTTCTTTCAGTCGAACAGGTTAGTGAAGTAAGCAGTTTATAATTCCTGGAGATGTGCATATAAGGGGCTTAAGAGTCAGAAGAGTTACAGGTCATTACAAAGAAAAGTATCTTGAGGACAGAATAGCCGCCAACTTGCCGATATGGAGAAACAAACATTCTTCCCCTTGGTCGTCACGGTTCTCCTTTCGTTGTTGGTTGCAGAAAAATCCTCCGGCAGCTTTTTCTCCTCGCTACAATTCACCCGTGATGCCCTGCTGGATTTTTCGCGAGGTTCACAAAGAACTGTAGATATTAACCTTGAATCAAAGAATACGACGAGGATGGTCAATAAGACGTATGTCTTGATAGAAAGTCAAGCAAACGGCATCGGTGAGACCTCACTCAGTGTAAAGAAAGTCGATGAAAGTGTGATGAAGACTACGACCAATGCTTTTACTACAATCCCATCTGACAAAATCAAAGATTCGTTAGATCCCTCAATGAGAAAGGACTTGCCAAAGGATCTACTAATGACATTTAGTGACAAAAGTGGAGTACTGGAACCCATAATACTCGTGCCAGTCAAGGAAAAAGTAATAATCAACCAGACAAAACGCGAAGTGTACAAATCGCGTACTTCTCCATCGAACAAGTTTATGAAGGCCATCAACGACATCGAACTAGCAGAGGCAAATGCAAACGCCTTAGGAGTCAAGTATAGCTACGCTACCCTGGCTAAACTAAAGGGTCTTGTTGAAAAAGCAATACGGAGCAAGAGTTATATATATGCTAGAGAGGTAAGATAACTCGAAAATTAATTGCGGATAGGGGTTAACTAGGGAACAGAGGAAAGAGTAAGGAAGCTTTTTTAGTTCACACGCCTTCTAAATCATTCTGAACAGGCAGAGCTGTGTAAATTAAGGTGAAGATAGAATTTCTTGAACGTATTTCTGCTAAAGCTATGCAAAAAGCTGCAAAAATAGTACCGTGTGAAGCTTGTTGTGCATGTTACTTAAATTCGGGAAGTAAGACTAGTCATTTCAGTTTGGCCAGGAACCATTCAAGCTAAACCTCGGTATTAAGCAGTACTTTCACAAGGTATTTTAAAAAGTGCAGTGAAGATAGCGAGATCTTTAAATGAAAGTCTACCCAAGCTGACTTCATACGACTGGAAAGGTGATATTCTGCACTCTTTTAAAAATCAGATTCTCTTCCTGTAAATTTAAACATTTTCAGATCGTCGGAAAGATCATGTATTTACTGAGCACTAAGGCAAAATCGTCAAGTCGGAAAAAGAGAAGCTCAACAAGTGAGGGAAAGGCATTTCTTCAAGATCTTCGTAAAAAGGTCGGTGGTGCTAAATTTGATAGCTTTTTGGCTGTGCAAGGCGATGTAGGTCTTATGTTTGCCATAGATGATACAGGAAGCATGCACGATGAAATCCAAGCGGCAAAAAAGATCGCAAAAGATATCATCAACTATAAGCGGAGGTTCCCTATCACGGAGTACATCTTGTCACCATTTAACGACCCCTATCCATGTGAGTAAAATACTGGTTTTTAGGTCGTCCAGTCGTGTCGTCTGTTGTGCTATTTGAGTACTAACTTTTTTCGGTGTTGCAGTAACAGCACTGGGCATCCACAAAAATATATCGCCCAATATGCACACGGGTCAATGTTAAATAATCTTTTGTAAAATTATCTGTAGTGTATTAGATTGTCGTCCTTTTTTTGTTTCAGAACTAAAATTTTGAGCGATGTTGACGGATTTTGAGTTCGCCGTTTACTGTGCCTCTCCGCAGTAAACGGCAAACTCAAAATCCTACAGAACTGCATCAAATACCATTTCTGAGACAAAGAAGGACAATTTACATTAAATTCCTACGGTACAACGTTTTTTTTTCGCACTGGTAAATGCACATATTTAGCCACATATCGCTATATATACATATGAAGCAAACGAATCCAATAGGCCATTTACCAGTTATTCCAAGCCTCTGTTTCAAAGCGAGGCTAGGTGCGAAGCTGTTGATATGAAAATAACCTTTTATTTTCTTGCTTGTAAAACTTATTTTCACAAAAATGGTTTTGCACTTAGCCTCGCTTTGTAAGGGGGGATTTTGTAGCCAGTTCCAGGCTCCGAGATAGTCAGGTCCGCTGAATTGAGAAAGCGCGAACACGAAAATGAAACGCCCGGCCAACTTTTTGCGTGCCTTTTCCTTTCACGTCGTCAGTCCACACTATCTGAGGGCCTGCAACAGGCTAGGGATTTTGGAACTCAGAAATGGATTATACATGTACTATAAAATAAAAACTCGGAACAAACGGTTACAAACAGATTTCATGGGCTTCCTATGTAGCAGTATATTTAATGACAAGGGAGTGTTTGGTTCGTTGTCAGAGGTCGACACAGTTTGTCATTTTTTTATCTATATTTTAATTCCGGTAGATCCAACAAATGCCGATCCGGTGATTGTCAAGAACGAAACTGAAGCTGGAGAGTTTGAAAAAGAAATAGAAAAACTCAGGGCCCATGGCGGCGGAGATTGCCCAGAGTACACGTTTGAGGGAATGCGTGGAGCACTAAATGATCTGCAAGTGAATGGTTCTCCTTTGTATGTGTTTACTGACGCAGGACCGAAGGATGCAACAGAGGCGGATATTGAGGAAGTCAAGACGATAGCTAAGGAACGTGGCGTAGCTATTAACTTTTTGACCACAGGTATAATTAGAGGAGAATTCTTGATTTTTGGCCTTAAATTAACCACATACTAATTTTTTTATGGCTGACTTCTCGAGCGGGCAAGAGGAAGCGAATCTTGAGTTCTGATTGGCTATCTGAGTGCAAGGCTCGTTATTTCCCCCTTTGGGCCCGCAGCAAAAAATATAATAAATCGGTCATTGGCCAAGCTTGGAGAGTAAGAGAGTATTTTGCCTTTCATGTGCTTCATGCTAGCTAAGAAAAGTTTATCTTAACTTCAGCTTCTTAAAATGTTTTAAGGTTATTGTCGCAGTCGAGGTTACAGCTCGCGCGATCCAAGAAATCTTCACCCAGCCTTCCTAGATCTGGCTAAAAGCACTTCTGGTCTAGCCATCATGTTTAACAACGCAGGGGAATTGGATCAAGTGACCAATTTGACAATCGGGACATTGGAGGGTGATACTATCGTATCTACCGGCTCAAACAAGACGAGCAGAAAAAAGAGGAGTTCTGCTGGATTAACTGGCAGTCGATATACCATTCCTGTTGATGACTCTATTGAAAAGATGTCTGTAACCATAAATACTGCTACAGAAGGTACGCGATACTTGTTGGGCAATTGTAAATATGAATAAACATTTAAAATAATCATTATTAACGCGAACTGTCCGGGATCAGGAGCTACTAACCCAGAGCGAGATACTTGTTTCCTCGGGCAGGTTCATTTAGGGCACTTTTTCCCACGAAAATGGAAGCCTAGCTGGGTTCGAAGTATAAGACATCCACAACGAGGGTAACTAAACGTCATTAAAAGGTCACTAATACCCGCGATTTTTCAGGTCTGTATGTTTTGCTAGATGATTGGTCAAACTTTTCAAAAAGTATTCTAAATTCGCGCCAAAATCGTTCTAAAAATAAACTCGTTCCTGAATTAGTAAACCAAATTTCTCATTCATATGATCAAACAGTTGCTTGTGACGTCATGGCACATAGAACCCTAATTTGTCAACTGCTGAAAGACAGCAAGCAATTGACCACTTTAGAATCAAAAAGTGAACTGGAGCCTAAATGTGCCCCGCAATTGTTTCTGGGATCGGTACTGAGGACGCGCTGGTCAGCTATTGGCCAATATCTTCCCCTGTCCATAGTAACTGTCCCAGAAGTCTTTGCGAAAGTTTCCTTCTCGTTTCCAAAGACGGGAATTGGTGATATGGTGGCTCTATGTAAATGAACGGCTGTTAACGTTTTTGGTATCAGCTAGCAGCATCCATAAATCATTAGTAAGCGAGACTGCTCCTTGGTTAGTGCTTCACCAACCCTTTTTCACCCTGGTCCACACTAGAGTCAAGTGTATCTTCAGGAGCCGAGTAATAGGTTTAATTCCTTCTTTCTTATCGTCCTTACAGGGCGTGGAATCGTCTTAAAAAATGCGGACAGCGTCGAAATAACGTCTGGAAAACTTAGTTTGTCACATATTACCATCTATGAAATTACCAATCCTAGGAAAGGAACCTGGACCCTAACCGTGCCAGGTAGTAATGGTGATCATGAGTTCTCTGTCAAGTCAAGCAGCGACACTAACGTAGATTTCGATCATTACTTCCTGATTAAACTTTCTTGGCACAGACGGCCTACTGAAGTTCCCATTTCGAATCCAGTTGTTGGTAAGCCAGTCTCATTTCTAGAAGAGTAGATAAAATCTTCTCAATTTTGGGAGGAGGCATGGCTTCCTCTTACTTTTATCTTAACTATTGTTCTAGTGAGGTTTTCAGCTTTCAAGAGCCCAATATACGAAAGAGCTATCCTAAAACGCATCTTCTCCGTATTGTTTTCACTTTTTGACTTAATTTTTAGGGGTAATCATGCTAAATGTAGAAAATGACCATAAAGAAGTACTCTAAGCCCCCAATGGTAATCGAACCATGAGTTTTCAGTTGAAGGTACAAAATTGATCTTTGGTTGACCCTTTGTTAGATTTTGGTATTTTCTTAACCGCATACTTTCTTTTTTTCTTTTAGGAAAGTTAAACAAAATCATAATTTCTGTAGCTGGATCAAAAAAACTAGACAACAGTTCCATGAGACTGCAACTCGTAACCACAGAGGGAAAATATATCAGTGACCTCATCCTTCAGCCACAAAGCCAAGGTCGTTTTCTGGTCGACTTTAATGCCCATGCGAATGGCCGACCATTTAAGCTTAAACTGAAGGGCACGACACAAAAAGGTTACCCTTTTGAGAGAATTTCCCATAAAATCCACAAAACAACCACGGCTGTTCTAAGGGGAACTTACGCAAGCAATTATTACACCCTTCCTTTGGGCAGAACCACATTTATTCGTTTTCAACTGTGCAACTTTGGGGCCACTGAAACTTTTGATTTTCTTGTCGCAAAGGACACACGGCGTTATGTTTTCCATCGTCGCCTGACTCCCAAACGCGTAATAAAAGGCCGTTGTAAATACATCTCTATTTTCGCCAAAGCTACTCGTTCTGAAGACGTGGGGAAGACAGATACAGTTTTCATTATCCTCAAGGGTCGAATCTCAAGAACTGTTATCTCGGAGACAGTTCATCTGCTTGTTGACAATTAAAGCAATTTTTATTCGAAGTTAGCAATATTACTCTCTAAACCATCAGGTTGAGTCAACCCCGAGCCAGGTCTTACTGAGGTTAACCGTTAAAAATTTTAGTCATTGGGTGGTAAAAAAGGAAATTTTAAACCGTTAGTCGTTAAAAAAAGTTAACAGTGAAAATGTTCTTAGAGAGTCAATACGTTTCTTGGTTAATGGGCCCTATTTCAGCCTTTTTTACATCCTGGCAAGGTCACAACGTACAGCTAGGCCTAAACAGATGGAAGTTTTTACTTTTTAAAAAAACAGTATATCTAATAGAGAGAAACTAACCGTTAGCAGTAGAAATGCCAAAATATTTACCGTTAACCGTGAATGCCTTGAGACCTTTAACCCCCTCTAAGAAGTGCGACTTAGAGGGCGTCCATCTTATATAGAGTAGGAGCCCATAACCTGGAGCGCACAACTGCCATACTAGGGCTATGTCAGGGAGTTTTCACGGACCGGTATATTGAAGTATAGGATAATACCTTTTGCAGCTTTTTTAAGATCTCGTTGTGTTTTTAGACAGATTTTTATCGAACTACCATATTAGCATCATGGGAAGAATTTCACGCAACCTTTATTTGAACGTCTCTTTCTCACCAGTAGAAGCACATTAAAGAGCTACCATAGCAACTTAAAGTAAAAATACTCAGTCAGCTGTACACTTCATTTAATGTTTGCTGATTAAAAGTAAACTACAATGGTTTGTATAGGATAAGATAAAAATCACAAGAAATGATATAATTTATTTGATTAAATATGGTGTTCTTTTTGCTTATGGAGGGAGTAGTAGGGGGACTCCCATATGAAATGGGCGGGGTTGTTCGTCGGAAATTTGGAACGAAACCCCTAAAGGAGACCAATCTGGGCGTTACCCAACCTTTGTTTGAACCTTAAAAAAGACCATTTTAAACTTTGATTACATGAATCGAGTGAATAAAATGAATTGAAAATATATCATTATTTTATATTTCTTCGCGTAGTGCAGCCCTAAAACAGACCTTTACGGCTTATTATAATGGCGTTTTGCTCAGAACACCCTAAGTGAGACCAAAATACGAAATTTACGGCCCTAAAAAAGACGACGGGCATTTTCGCCCCCTTCATATGGGAACCCCCCCGGGGGGGGGGCGGTAGGGAGGCGGTAGCAAGAGTGGTGAAGGAACCGCCTAATCTCGTACCCAGATCTCACTCTGTTTTTCCCTTGGCCGTGGGAGATCTGGGTACGAGATTAGGAACCGCCAGCAAATAAAAAATAGCATGCACAAATATGGTACCGAAACATGCGCGTAAGAGGGATGCGAAACGTGAGATTTCCCCGCCACAGTCACTCCTTCCCAGCTGTATAGTAATTTTAATTTAATGTTATTTACCTATTTATTATGTTTTTTTTATATATATTAATTTCTGTAATTAATTATATGTGGCAAACTAATAAAATAAAATAAATAAAGAGAGGGGTGCGGCAGCTTATTCGAGGGCAAGGCCGGCGTATCATTCGCGGAAATCCGACTCGTTTTCCCAAATCATCTTCTGACCTGAAACGTTTGCTCTTGGCTCTCGTGTAAGCGTGAAGTAAAGTGAGCTGTATAATGACTCTTGAGTTGTTAAGGACTTTTTATCTTACTTCCCTTTCAAAGTAAACAGTGAAGTAAACAGTTCAAAGTTCCTTGCTCTTTCTCAGGATCGATAAGTATCAGCTTTCTTTCAAAGAAAATTACAGACCTCTCGTCACAGCCAACCTGCCGATATGGAGAAACGAATTTTCTTCGCCTGGACCGTCACAGTTCTCCTTTCTTTGTTTTCTGCAAAACAATCTTCCGGAAGCTTTTTTTCCTCACTGCAGTTCACCCGAGATGCCCTAATGGATTTTTCGCGTGGTTCGCAACGAACAGTGGAAATCACCCTAGAACCAAAGAAGACGATAAAAGTGGTCAATAAAACCTACATTATGCGTGAAGCAAGAAGCGGTTCGGGACTTGTGGAATTGAAATCTAATAACAAAACGCTCACACCGGAAGCATTTTCAACAATACCATCTGAAGATATTAAAAATTGGTTCGATCCGTCAATGAGAAAGGACTTGCCAAAACAACTATTGATTGCAATGCAGGTTTCAAAAGATGGTACGGAGGAACCTTTAATAATCATCCCATTCAATAAAACAGTGGTCGAAAACCAGACGAAACGCGAAGTTTACAGACCACGAACTTCCCCGTCCAACAAATTTGTCAAAGCAATTAATGACATTGAACTAGCACAGACAAACGCCAACGCCTCAGATGTAAAGTACAGCAGTGCTGCCTTAGCTAAACTGAAATTGGTTGTTGAGAGAGCCATACGGAGTAAGAGCTATAAATACGCGAGACAGGTAACGTAACACCAATTATCATTTCAAAATTAAAGTTAAGGAAAAGGACGTAAAGGAAGGGGAAGGAGTAAGACAGCGGTTTCACCAAATGAATAGGCTGACTTAATTCCGAAAGTCACGCAGTGCGCAGTTACCGTACGAAAATAATCTAGTCAGTTTACCGTTACAACATTACAGTAGTCGACTCGCTACCTCGAACCTCGTGCTAACTCGAGCCGAAATCGATGTCCCCTGGATTTCCTTTATACATTATATGTACTGTAATTTTACCGTAGATAGTTCGATCCATGTCCCGGCCGCTAACTCGAAGCNTCACAGCCAACCTGCCGATATGGAGAAACGAATTTTCTTCGCCTGGACCGTCACAGTTCTCCTTTCTTTGTTTTCTGCAAAACAATCTTCCGGAAGCTTTTTTTCCTCACTGCAGTTCACCCGAGATGCCCTAATGGATTTTTCGCGTGGTTCGCAACGAACAGTGGAAATCACCCTAGAACCAAAGAAGACGATAAAAGTGGTCAATAAAACCTACATTATGCGTGAAGCAAGAAGCGGTTCGGGACTTGTGGAATTGAAATCTAATAACAAAACGCTCACACCGGAAGCATTTTCAACAATACCATCTGAAGATATTAAAAATTGGTTCGATCCGTCAATGAGAAAGGACTTGCCAAAACAACTATTGATTGCAATGCAGGTTTCAAAAGATGGTACGGAGGAACCTTTAATAATCATCCCATTCAATAAAACAGTGGTCGAAAACCAGACGAAACGCGAAGTTTACAGACCACGAACTTCCCCGTCCAACAAATTTGTCAAAGCAATTAATGACATTGAACTAGCACAGACAAACGCCAACGCCTCAGATGTAAAGTACAGCAGTGCTGCCTTAGCTAAACTGAAATTGGTTGTTGAGAGAGCCATACGGAGTAAGAGCTATAAATACGCGAGACAGGTAACGTAACACCAATTATCATTTCAAAATTAAAGTTAAGGAAAAGGACGTAAAGGAAGGGGAAGGAGTAAGACAGCGGTTTCACCAAATGAATAGGCTGACTTAATTCCGAAAGTCACGCAGTGCGCAGTTACCGTACGAAAATAATCTAGTCAGTTTACCGTTACAACATTACAGTAGTCGACTCGCTACCTCGAACCTCGTGCTAACTCGAGCCGAAATCGATGTCCCCTGGATTTCCTTTATACATTATATGTACTGTAATTTTACCGTAGATAGTTCGATCCATGTCCCGGCCGCTAACTCGAAGCAACGTTTTTTTTTTGTTTTTTTTGCTTCCCTTCAGATAGTTTCTGAATAATTTTACTTCAAGGTACTACAGTCGCAAAACTGAATTTATTTCAAAACAACCGTGATTTTAAAGCACTCAGCCACAGTTCGCGGCAATTATCTTTAAGTGGGCCACCGCGGTTTTTTTTCCCTAAGTAGCTTAATCCAGCTCTCAGAACTTCTTTTTTCATTGGCCTTTGGAAAAAAACCTTTTGTCTTTTTGGATAGCGGCATTGTTTCGGTATTTCGCCTTTTGTTTTGTTAGCGCTAAACAATTCGAACTTCGTGATATCGGTAAGAAGAGCATGCAAAGTTGTCGTTTGACGTTAATCTTTTGTTGTCTCGTTTCCTTGCCCATTTAAGGCTTCCTTCTTATTTACTTTCTAGCCTTTTCTGCTACTAGAGAGGGCTGGTGCAAACCTCTGCAGTTTAAAACTTGTATCAGTTTATAGAAAATGCGATTAAGTTCACCACTCATGCGAGCGACTTCATCTTTACTTCCGTGTCAGTGACAAGAGGCGATATAATGGCTGTTTATTTACTTTTCTCCTTCGAACATATCTCAAGTATTATTTACATATTGAATTTCTTCACTGCGAAGAAAATACCATCAGTTCAACAATATGGGAAAAAGAATATTCTTCACGTGGGCCCTCCTTTCGTTGTTGTCTGCAAAACACTCCTCCGGGAGCTTTCTCTCTTCGCTGCAATTCACCCGTGATGCGCTCATGGATTTTTCGCGTGGCTCGCAACGAACTGTGAACATCACCCTGGCATCAAAGATTACAACGAAGACGGTCAACAAAACATACAAAATGACACGTTCAAGTCCAAATCTATATTCCTCGAAGTATAAACTTGTGGAAGTGAAAGGCATCATCAAAAAGACAAGTAATGACACGAAGGAGCCCGACCTATTTTCAACAGTATCATCTGAACTTATTAAACATTTGTTAGATTCCTCAATACCTTCGATGCGAAAGATGAAAGATAACTTACCAAAGCAAATACTTCTAGAAAATGATGACTTGCCGGAACCCCTGGTTATCATGCCATTAAATGAAACAGTGATAGTCAATCTGACGAAACGCGAAGAGTACAAACCGCGTACTTCTCCATCGAACAAGTTTATGAAGGCCATCGGTGACATTGAACTAGCAGAGGCAAATGCAAACGCCTTAGGAGTCAAGTACAGCAATGCTACCCTGGCTAAACTAAAGAGTCTTGTTGAAAAGGCAATACAGAGCAAGAGCTTTATATATGCCAGACAGGTACGATAATTTGTGTATTATTTGCAGATAAGTTCGTAAAGGTTGGAGGCAGACGAGAGGGTAGGGAAAAGAAGAGAGAGTAAGAAACTTCTGTTTTGGTAAGACCCCTTATTAATCATTTTACTGTCAGAAATAGAAAATTTTGTTGGGGGAAAGCCACGTAGTTTTCTCTCTTAAATTTGGCCAATTTTTCTAAGGCTGTGCAAATCACAGGGCGCAGGGGTGTTTTACAAACATTCTGATGCAAGGCCGGATTGGACTACATGCCAACCGGTACCCGAAAATGTTACGTTTTCTATACTATGTGCATGTATTCCAGGTATTTCTATGTTCAGTGGCTCACGGAATTTCCGCACATTTTAACAGAGCTGTTTGTTACAAATAGCCGGTTGCAGTTGTACGAGATATGAGATCCTTGTTCAAGACGTTTTCTCCTGATAGGAGGGAAATAGAAGGGTGCGGTAGCTTATTCGAGGACAAGGCCTGCGTATCATTCGCTGAAATCCGGCACCTTTTCCCAGATCATCTTTTGACCTGAAACGTTTTCTCTTGGCTCTCGTGTAAGCGTGAAGTAAAGTGAGCTGTATAATGACTCCATAGAGCTCAATGAGAGACGTTTTGGCTTACTTCCCGTTTTAGTGGCAAGTAAAGTAAACAGTTGCGGGGCAAAGTTCCTTGCTCTCTCCAAAGGATAAGGCTGAGCTTTCTTTCAAAGAAAATTAAAGAACCCAGTACAGCCTGCTTGTCGATATGGAGAAACGAATTTTCTTCGCCTGGACCCTCATAGTTCTCCTTTCGTTGTTGGCTGCAGAACAATCCTCCGGGAGCTTTTTTTCCTCGCTGCAATTCACGCGTGATGCACTGATGGATTTTTCGCGTGGTTCCCAACGAACTGTAGATATTAACCTTGAATCAAAGAATACGACGAGGATGGTCAATAAGACGTATGTCTTGATAGAAAGTCAAGCAAACGGCATCGGTGAGACCTCACTCAGTGTAAAGAAAGTCGATGAAAGTGTGATGAAGACTACGACCAATGCTTTTACTACAATCCCATCTGACAAAATCAAAGATTCGTTAGATCCCTCAATGAGAAAGGACTTGCCAAAGGATCTACTAATGACATTTAGTGACAAAAGTGGAGTACTGGAACCCATAATACTCGTGCCAGTCAAGGAAAAAGTAATAATCAACCAGACAAAACGCGAAGTGTACAAATCGCGTACTTCTCCATCGAACAAGTTTATGAAGGCCATCAACGACATCGAACTAGCAGAGGCAAATGCAAACGCCTTAGGAGTCAAGTACGGCAATGCTACCCTGGCTAAACTAAAGAGTCTTGTTGAAAAGGCAATACAGAGCAAGAGCTTTATATATGCCAGACAGGTACGATAATTTGTGATTGTATTATTATCTGATGCAAGGCCGGATTGGGCTAATGCCAGCCGATATAGTTACCCGAAAATGTTACGTTTTCTATACTGTGTGCATGTATTCCAGGTACTTCTATGTTCAGTGGCTGAATTTCCGCACATTTTAACAGAGCTGTTTGTTGCAAACAGCCGGTTGCAGTTGTACGAGATATGAGATCCTAGTTCAAGAAGTGTTCTCCTGATAGGAGGGAAATAGTCGGAGTGTGGCAGCTTATTCGAGGGTAAGGCCAGCGTATCATTTAGCGGAAATCCCGGGGGGGTACTTTAGGAATTTCTGGGTGGGGATGTGCCCCTGGGACCCTGNAGTCAAGCAAACGGCATCGGTGAGACCTCACTCAGTGTAAAGAAAGTCGATGAAAGTGTGATGAAGACTACGACCAATGCTTTTACTACAATCCCATCTGACAAAATCAAAGATTCGTTAGATCCCTCAATGAGAAAGGACTTGCCAAAGGATCTACTAATGACATTTAGTGACAAAAGTGGAGTACTGGAACCCATAATACTCGTGCCAGTCAAGGAAAAAGTAATAATCAACCAGACAAAACGCGAAGTGTACAAATCGCGTACTTCTCCATCGAACAAGTTTATGAAGGCCATCAACGACATCGAACTAGCAGAGGCAAATGCAAACGCCTTAGGAGTCAAGTACGGCAATGCTACCCTGGCTAAACTAAAGAGTCTTGTTGAAAAGGCAATACAGAGCAAGAGCTTTATATATGCCAGACAGGTACGATAATTTGTGATTGTATTATTATCTGATGCAAGGCCGGATTGGGCTAATGCCAGCCGATATAGTTACCCGAAAATGTTACGTTTTCTATACTGTGTGCATGTATTCCAGGTACTTCTATGTTCAGTGGCTGAATTTCCGCACATTTTAACAGAGCTGTTTGTTGCAAACAGCCGGTTGCAGTTGTACGAGATATGAGATCCTAGTTCAAGAAGTGTTCTCCTGATAGGAGGGAAATAGTCGGAGTGTGGCAGCTTATTCGAGGGTAAGGCCAGCGTATCATTTAGCGG